GTGATGGCGGCGAGGATGCTGGTGAAGACGGTGACGATGATGGTGATGCTGACGACGGCGCGAGGACTTATCATGCTGATGCTTTGCGGTGATGGTGATGAAGGGCAGGGGGCGAGGCACCTCTCCGCTCGCGCGCCGAGTAGATCGTTCTCTCTCATCGAGTCGACGCACGCGAGCATTCCGAGGATGAACAAATATGCGAGTGGCGAAAGAGATGCTCGACTCGCCGCATATGCTCATGCGATCGCGAGGGCCGCACCTTGATGAACACGATGTGACGAGCAAAGGTTGGGAGCCGCGAGCAAAGGTTGGGAGCGAGCAAAGGTTGGGAGCCCAGAAACGAAGAAACGTTCAAACTATCGGCTTAGCAAATTGGTTGGAAGTGAATTGCAATAATTGGATGCCTCACGCTTGCACGCAATCTGCAAAGGGCCCCTCCAGTCAAACACTGTTCAACGTCGATCGTTGAAAGTAGCAACCACTCACACACGCCTCTAACCAACTGACTGGCTCAGTTGAAGAGGCCGCTCCCACAGCTCTCACACCTATCTCTCTGGTACACAATATTGGAAGCGTTGTGAATTGTGGCCCATTGGCCTCCTAAAAATCTCTCTCTCAACTCTCTCTCCGTAAGACTTCGGAGAAGGCAAGCCGTGAACGAGACGGGGTCCAGCATCGGCACGGCCCCTGGCACCGCGGCCCTTGCCGCGCTGCTGCTGCCCACGCTTCCTGCCCGGGTTAGGGACAGTGAAGGAGCAGCCGCGCACTCCGCCGCCGCTGGGCGGCGGCGGCACGCTCGCGGCGGCGGCCGGGTTTAACCCGGTGGAACCCTCGGCTAACCCTCGCTTTCTCAAAGAAAAAAACTCGCGTGCGCTCGGCCGGTGCACGCGGGTCGGAGCCACCGGCCCTCTATCTCTACATCCCTTCTCCCTCGCGTCCGCCGATGCCCAAGGTCGACGTCACCGCCTGCGCCCTGGCGTTCCGCGACGAGATCAAGAAGGAGATCGAGGTCCGCGTGGAGGCGGGCGGCCCACGGCCAAAGCTGGTTGGCATCATCGCCAACAAGGATGAGGCGGCGGTGATGTACGCTCGGTGGACGGAGCGGGCGTGTGCTCGCGACGGCATCCAGTACGAGCTGCGTCAGGTGGAGCGGGTGGATCTGGAGGACGCCGTCATCGAGGCCAACGAGGACCCGGCCGTCAACGGCATCATTGTCTACTATCCCGTCTTTGGCGGCCCGATTGATGACTACCTGCGCGACGTCATCTCTGTGGAGAAGGACGTCGAGGGCCTGAACCACCGGTACCGCTACTCGCTGTACCACAACATCCGCGTGCTCTCCGACCTGGGCAACCGGAAGGCCATCCTCCCCTGCACACCCCTCGCCATCCTCAAGATCCTCAACCACCTCGGCGCCTACAAGCAGGAGCTGCCCGTTGGCGAGCAGGCGCCGCCCGGCCCGCCCCG